CAGAGGAATGGCTTGGGAGGAATCCTGCCCAGACAGGAGTCACAGGATGCAGGCAGGATGGAGAGTGAAGGGATAAAAAAATAAATAAAGAATAAAAAATGAGAAAGGTTTGACTCTGCACACCAAGATCACAACTTGCTCTCTTTATTCCCAAACTCCCAAGGCTGTGTGAAATGGAATTCCCAAACTTTGACCTTTACAGTATCAACAAGAGATAATTTGGGTCCTCCCTATCTCAAAGAAACACATTTTAGCTCACTTGGGTACCAAAAATCAACAGATTATCCCCAAGGCCAGGGACACAAAGCCTGGCTTTGTAAATCTTTATTACAGGAAGGCACAACAAGAGAGCAGTTCCAGGTTTAACAGGGGGATTCCAGGGAATATAAAGGGAATGGAGACAAAGAAACAACAGCATTGATCCCATAAAACACTGGTCCAATCCCACCACTGTCCAAACAGCTCCAGGCTGTTTGGGATTTTTGCTTACAGTTCTGTCAAAACACAGAGTAAAAGCAATTTGAAATTCTGTCATGGAAAATGAACGAGGTTTTGGATCCAGGTTTGAGGGATTAAAACACAGAGTAAAAGCAATTTGAAATTCTGTCATGGAAAATGAACAAGGTTTTGGATCCAGGTTTGAGGGATTTCTCGGACAAGACTGGAAAGGTCCGTGGAAGACAGGGAGGGAGAAATAAAAATTGGTTTTCCATCATTCCTCCTCTTCCCACACCACATCCCTGCCTCGTTCCTGAGGGAAATGGGAATTACCTGCTTCCTCACGGTGGAGCTGCGCCTGCCACTGGTCCAGGGGTGCAGGAGGGAAAAACAGAACACAACAGTCAGGATAATCCTCCAGCATCACCAACTCCTTCCTCCAGCGCTCCCAACCACGCTCTGGAGCAGGGATATCCCAGCCAAACACAAAGCCAGAGCCTCACTCGATTTATGGAACTCCAGGAAGATTTTAAGTGACTTTAAATCACTCAAAAGCTGCACGAGGCGCAAGGGAGCCCTGACAGGAGATTACCCCTGACACTTTAATTCCAATCAGAGGGAATTCTGTGATCCTGCTGCTTGCTGGAGATGAAGTTTGATATAAATTGCACAGGGGAAGAGCAGGTGGGAGCAGGCTGGTTCCCCCTGTGCTGTTAACAGCTGCCACTGAGGAGTCTTTATTACAGTTTTGATAAGATTTCAAATAAATAAATAACACAAAACCCACTGGAACACCAGCCCAGGTTAAGCCTTGTGTGTCTGCTCTCATTTGCTGGTGTTGGTAGACCTTAATGGCAGAAAAATAGGAAAAAAGCTCTGCTCTGCCAGGGTTTTTCCCTTCAAAATTTATTGCTGGGGTTTAAAATTCCTTTAGTTTCTTGTAAAAATGGAGCAAGGGAGATAATAGCAGAGAGGACCTAATGCATCATTCCAGCCAATTCCCTGCCAGGGCAGATGGCTGCTGAATTATAAATAAGGGGATTAGAAGTGTGATTTAAAAAAAAAAAAAAAAAAAGCCTGTACAATGTGTTAATTTGGGGGAAATTCCTTTTGTTAAAAACAAAAAAAAAAAAACCCAAAACACTGAGTGAGAAATGAAAGACAAAAATCAATCTGATTCCACGGGCTGTCACAGGCACCGAGGTGGGTTTTAAACAGTTTAGCGGGCACAATCCTTTGATATTTAAAATTGCTTCATGATGAATAATATTTTATTATTACAGATGTCAGGGTCTAATTAGGACCTGCCAGTTTTGCTTTGCTGTGAGCAATGGGAAGAGCAGTAATGAGTCCATGCTGGTGGTAATCACCTTCCTTTTGTTAACGAGGCAGGATGATGCACAGCCCCTGCCCCAGCCCCTCATGCCCAGCAGAGCCCCCTGAATCCATCAATTTGGAGATGGGGATTTGTTCTGTTTGACTAAAACCCCACCAGAAGCTCAGTGCTGGTTTTGGGATTGTTCTTAATGAAATTAAAAGGTTTTTTTTCTCAGTGCCCCCCATCCTGCTGGAATCCAGCACTGGGATCAAGAGTTTCCCAATTTATGGTCCTTGACCCTGTGGATAAGCCCTGCCCAGTCCATGGGCCACCTCTCTCCCAGGACCAGAGATTTGGTTATAAAAACCCAAATCTGGAGAATATTCCCTGGGTGACAGCGCCAAATTAAGGAATCTCTCTCACTTTCCCATCCTGCTCCTGATCTGCACTAAATACACCAGAGCAAGAATGAAGAAATTTGTATTAATTAGATGTATTAAATTCCTGCCCCACCCCTGGAAGTGGCAGGATGGGATCTGGAGCAGCCTGGCACAGTGGAAGGTGTCCCATGGCAGGGGTGGCACTGGAGGAGTTTTTTAAATCACTCCATGATTCCAATCAGTGACTCTAAATCAGAGTATTTTTCTAACAGACACGTCCTGGGCTGGTAACTGATGTGGAATGACCAATTTGCATCAGATTTTCCTTGAAAACACAACTCCCTGAGCCACACCTACCTGGCCAGGGCGCAGTCCGTCCGCTGACCTGTGCAGGAGACACAGAAATGCAGCATGAGGAGGGAGGAATGGGAAAAAGCTTTCAATGATTCTGTACAGAGAATTCTGGAAGGAGATGGAGGAAAGGAGAGGAGAGAGGAGGGGAAGCTCCAAGGACAGCACCAAACCCATCCCTGCCAGCTGAGCTCCTCCAAATCCAACCAGGCACCAGCTCAGGCTGTCCAAGGACTCCTATCTCCGTGAATTCTTGTTTTTAAATAGAGTATTTTTTTGTTTGCTTGTTTTTTAAATAGAAATTCCCACCCTGAGCATTCTAATCGTTGACTTCTGCCAAAAAACTGGGCTTGTCAGTCCCTCCCTCCTCCCAGGGGAACCGGTGGGGCGAGAGATTCTCCTTCCCAAAGCCCCTCAGGAAGAGTGCAAACATTCCCAGATTTGTCAGCCCACAGCCTGAACGTGCTGGCACCGGAGCTATTTTGAGAGACAGACGTTCAGCGGTGTTTTCCACAAACATATTTATAAAAACACTCCATTAACTTGTGCTGAGTTTTGGAGGAAGCGGCAGCCAAGCTCGGGACTTGCTAATGCAGCATCACCTAAAACATCACAACACGAGAGGCAGGGAAAAGGAGGATGTGCTGCTGGGACTGGGACAGGTTTTTTTTGGTGGGGGAAAAAAAATAAAAAAAATCAGTGAAGCCACACTGATTCCCACCAGCTGAAAATCCACCTTCCCTCCTGTTGTCTTCCTGCTCCTGGGGAGATGCAGAGAGGAGTGAGGGAAGCAGCTAATTGCTGATGGCTGACAATTAGTCGAGCACATCTTGATAGCCACTTTTGCTCTCCCCACGTAAAGCCAAAACAGTGCATAATTGACATGAAAATGTTATTCTGCAGCAGAATTCCCAGCCATCTGTCCCCGTTTTCATCATGGAATATTCATACAGAGAAATCACACGGCTGTGGCAGCATCCAGGGGCTCCTGCGTTAGGGTGACAAATGGGGACAGGAGGCAGGGACATAATTACTTGCAGGGAGGAGGGCTTGCTGCTACTTTTTATTGCTGGAACTTGTCATCTTCAGATTAAGGCAATTTGCACCACGACTGAAAAATGTCACCTGAGGATGGGGCAGGGGAGGAGAATAAAAAATAACGACCCCCTGAACTTGCCAGGCACTGAAGACACGCAGCTGGAGGCACATTTTCCTCTAAAGCTCCTAACCGGGCTCTGGGGACGTGTGAAGGGAATTTTATTTGCCCATTTCCCAATTAAGTGACATTTTATGGATAAATCCAGGCACGCTCCCCCAGTTTGTACCATTAACCTGCTCCAGTGGGTTGGGAAATGGGAAGTTCCTCCCTTTTCCCAGTTCCTTTTGATCTCACAGATGACAGGAGGAGTTTGTTTTTTTATTTGGTGCTCACCCTGACACTCACAGGGCCACTAAGACAGCTCTGGTTTGCAAAAAGCCAAGGAAGGAGAGAGAAGCAGCCTTTAAACCCACACAGCAATACAGAAATCACATTTAATTCCTCTCCTTTCCCCCCAGCACAGCTTGGGCCGGGTTGAGGGGCAGGCAGGTTAAGAGGAGCCGGGTTTGGAATGCAGAGGTCAGCCACGACACAGCAATGGGTTCAGCCACAGGGGCAGCACTTCTGGCACTCACAGATATTTAGAGGCACAAGAAAAATGCCCTGAGGACACAAAAGTTTGGCTTCAGCCACCCTTTCTTACAGGAGAGCTGAAGACACCAGCAACTTTAACAGCTCCAACCCAAAGTGAGGCGCGTCCTCCCCTCATCTCCCAGCGGTCGGGCTCTGATAAACACAAAACTCTTAATTACTGCAGCAAAGGAGTATTTTAATTTGCCAGCACGTTTTCCAAGTGAAAGCAAAGCACTTCAAAGCCCACATGCTGGCTGAGCTCTCATCCAGCACCCTGGCACACCAGGAGTGTGGGGAGTCCAGCCCAGCCCGTTCTTGACCTGACATTTAGACTGCTCAAACCTTCTCCTCTGCAAACAGGGCAGGCAGGTTTCCATGGAAACTTGGATGCATAGATGAAGGGTTTTTGGCCAACAGGATTTGCCCATACCATGAAGGGAAAGAAATCTGCCTTTGTTCTAAGTCTAACAGTAAATGAATATTCAGATCTGGCTGCTGCCCCCTGAATGATGCCCTCTAGACAGGCAACGTGTTTCACATGCTCTGAAATTTGTTTGTGCTTCTCCTGGAACAGCCTGGGCTCCCACACATTGCTGTGAACCCACAGAGCTGAGGAGCAGCTGGACTGCCACACAAATGAAGGCCCAATAATTCTGGATTGATGTGTAAATCACCAGGTAAATAATTCTGGACTGATCAGTGAATCACCAGGTAAATAATTCTGGATTGATGTGTTAATCACCAGGTAAATAATTCTGGATTGTTCAATAAATCACCAGGTAAATAATTCTGGATTGATCAGTGAATCACCAGGTAAATAATTCTGGATTGATCAGTGAATCACCAGGTAAATAATTCTGGATTGTTCAATAAATCACCAGGTAAATAATTCTGGATTGTTCAGTTAATCACCAGGTAAATCTGGATTGATCAATGCATCACCACGTAAATAATTCTGGATTGATCAGTAAATCACTAGGTAAATAATTCTGGATTGATCAGTGAATCACCAGGTAAATAATTCTGGATTGATGTGTAAATCACCAGGTAAATAATTCTGGATTTATCAGTGAATTCTGGATTGATCAGTGAATCACCAGGTAAATAATTCTGGATTGATCAGTGAATCTCCAGGTAATTCTGGATTGATCAGTGAATTCTGGATTGATCAGTACATCACCAGGTAAATAATTCTGGATTGATGTGTAAATCACCAGGTAAATAATTCTGGATTGATCAATGAATCTCCAGGTAAATAATTCTGGATTGATCAGTGAATCACCAGGTAAATAATTCTGGATTGATCAATGAATCTCCAGGTTTGGCCCAGCAGGGATAAGCAGGATGGGTGTGAGGGAGGGAGCAGCACACAGATCAGTGATGACCAGCAGTGCCCCTTTAAGCATTTTGGTGATCAGCACACAGGGCAGAGGAATCAATTCATAAAACACCAGCACGGCCACTGTGCATTGCTAATCCAGGGTTGCCACCTCATCTGAGTAATCCAGAAAGTTAATTAAATAAATTAACACATTAAAAACAAATAAATTAAATGTTTAAACAGCCTGGCTGAGGGCTGTGCTGGGGACACACACTCACTTTCTCCCAGGGTCTTCTGAAGGAGGTCATGCTTGGCCTGGAGCTTTGTGATCAGGTTCCTGCCTTCCAGGTACTCCTTCATTTTCTGTGGAAAAAAACAGGATGGTGAGAGGATAATTCATTTCTCTGATCAATTCTTTGGGTTGGTGGATTGTGAATAGGAGGGCAGAGTGACACTGAATTTACAGAATGACACTGAATTTACAGTGACATTGAATTTACAGAGTGACACTGAATTTACAGTGACACTGAATTTACAGTGACACTGAATTTACAGTGACACTGAATTTACAGAATGACACTGAATTTACAGAGTGACACTGAATTTACAGTGACACTGAATTTACACAATGACACTGAATTTACAGTGACACTGAATTTACAGAGTGACACTGAATTTACAGAGTGACACTGAATTTACAGTGACACTGAATTTACAGAGTGACACTGAATTTACAGTGATACTGAATTTACAGTGACACTGAATTTACAGTGACACTGAATTTACAGAATGACACTGAATTTAGTGACACTGAATTTACAGTGACACTGAATTTACAGTGACACTGAATTTACAGTGACATTGAATTTACAGTGACACTGAATTTACAGAGACACTGAATTTACAGTGACACTGAATTTACAGAGTGACACTGAATTTACAGTGACACTGAATTTACAGTGACACTGAATTTACAGTGACACTGAATTTACAGAGTGACACTGAATTTACAGTGACACTGAATTTACAGAATGACACCAAATTTGCAGTTGCAGAGTGACACCAAAATTGACAATAACAGAATAACTCTGAAATTGACAGTTAAAGCACAAACTAAACCCTGCCTTGTGCATCTGGCTAAGTCTGAAGCTCAGCCCACTGATATTTTAAGCCCAACCAAGCTTGGCTCAACGATCTTCCAGGCCTTTTCCACCCTGAACCATTCTGAAATTCTGTGAATTCTCCATCTGCAGGGCAATTTCCATTGTTCCACTGTGGGATCAGCTGAATGTTTGGCATCTTTTGAGCCATCAGAGGAGCTGTCATCCAGCCCTCAGTGAATGAACAATCTGTTTTAACCAACTAAAAGGCTGCTACTGTGCTTATTCTCTCACTTAACCTCCCTCACCCCACTTTACTCGTCAAACCCTGCGTCTGCCTCCACGCTGGATGATCCACAGGGCTGCAAAGGACAAAACAAATAAAGATATTATTGAAGTTCAGATTTATTCTGGCAGTGTATTGTACAGCCACGCATTTTTCCTGCTGCTCCCTGATTTTCCACAGCTCTGCAAATGCTGGGGGGGTTTTTTTGGGGGGTTTTTTTTTGCAGCTCTTTCATCTCTGATCTTGCAGTTCAGAGCAGTTTTATTTATCTTCACTGAGCTGCAGAGTGTGAAATACTCTGCTGCACAGGGGCTGCCCACATTGGAAATGGGATGTGTTTGCACTGAAAACCACAAACTCTGCAAATATCACAGAGCACCCTCTGGAATCCTGAGAGATCTTCAAATTTCAGCCAGCAGAACGAGCCCAGAGAGAGGATCCTCGTCTAATAATTGAATGTTCTTGTCAGAATCAAATCCTCCAATGGTTTAGGTGGGAAGGGACCCCAAAGCTCCTCCAGTTTTATGGCAGGGACACTTTTCACCATCCCAGGTTGCTCCAAGTCCTGTCCAGCCTGGCCTTGGACACTTCCAGCTTTCCCCAATTCAATCCAATTCCTTCCAGGTCTGATCTGCCCACTTAAAACTGCAAATCCTCCAGGTAAAAATTGATATTTTTAACCACAGGAGAGCCTGGACCCCGCTTGGCCTTTGCAGGAGCAGCCTCTGTGCGGGATGGAAAGAGGCAAGCAGAAATAGACACATCAATAAATAAAGGAATTTATATAAACCCACACTGGGGCAGCAGTGAGGGTGAGGAAAAACCTTCCAGGAACTCCTCAGCTTCCCCTGAGGGCTCCCCAGCCCTGGTGTGCACTGACACAACAAACAAAAATGGCTTTAATTAACTGCCAAAAGCCTGGGTTTTATGTCCCTTTGCTTGACAACATTGAAAGTAACATTTCACAAGAATTAAGTACCTTTGGAAAGTCTCAGTGTTTCCTGCTTCCTTTATTAATATTGCAAATTTTTTTTTTGTTGTTGTTGTTTTGGAAGAAAACAGGAAGCGCCCTCACCACTATGAGAAATTAATTCCAATTTTTTTTTGGGGGTGGGGGAATATCCCTGTAGAATCTGTTCACCGAGCCCTAAATGGATTTTGCTCAGTTCAATTTTTTTAATCAGTGAAATTTTTGCAGTAGAAAAATATAATGAGCACAAATTGCAAAAATAACCTGTCTGAAGTGGGGGAGCCGAGGGTGAATCTGGCTCTGGGGGGGTCTCAGGTGGAAGGACAGGAGGGTTGGAAGGCTCAGCTGCAAACAGAAGCTCAAAGATCAGCGAATCAACTCGTCTGGGCAGGGTTAAGCTCCCCTTTGAAGCAGAACTAAACACTTAAGCCCAGCCTAAGGTGGGCCAGGCAGGGCAGGGCAGAGGCACTCGCTGGGACTTGCTCTGGCTTCAAGGTCATTAAAAACATCAACAGGTACCAGGGGTTGCTTTAAAGGAGAAAAAGATCCTCCCATCCACTGCAGAATCTCATTTTTTTTTACTATTTCCTCATGCCTAACATTCTGTTCCCACTGCAAGGATGCTGATGGAAAAAAAACCCAAATTAATTTAAAATAAAAAAAGCTTCAGGCTTTTCTCAATGAATCACAAAGATGCATTAGCCCTGGATTCTTGGCTTAATAAAGAGAGTCAGAGGGAAAAAAAAAAAAAGAAATAAAAATGATCAAACTACAGGAGAACTGAATGAGGATTTCACTCATTGGAACCAGAACAAAGCAGGAGAAACCTCGTTTTTGCAGGGTGACAATTCCGAGGTGAAATTCAGCTGGGAGTCAGAGCCAGGAGCATTTCTGCCCCTACAAAACTGAGGAAGGTGGGAATCTCTGAGCCCAAAGCCCTGCAGGATGTCCCCAGCCAGAACCAGCTGCAGCAGGGATGAAGCAGAACCCAACCAGACCCTGCTTTCCCCCCTGCTCAGGATATGAAGAAAAAAAACATTTCTGCCACTGTTCCACATCCTGATCCATCCCCAGCCAGGAAAACGCAGTGATTTTCTTCTCTCACCCCTCTCCAAGAATAATTCCAGCTCGACTGAAGGATGGGGGAACTGGATCCACTTCCCACAGGGCCAGCACCAGCAGGACCCCCCAGCTCCAGTGGCAAAAAATTCTCCCCGTGTGGCAAAAACAAACCTGCATTAATCCCACAGCACTTCACACCAGCATTGTTCTGGTTCCTCCTCTTTCCAGAGTTAAAAAAACAACATTTTGCCTAAAATGATGCTGGTTTAGAGGTGAAAGAATGAAATTTCCCCCCCTTGTCACTGCCCAGGCGGTGCCAGCTGTGCCCAGCTGTGCCCGGATCCCTGGCTCTGGAAGCAGGGCTGTAACCATGGCAGCAGCAGCACATCCCTGGATTTTGGCTCCCTGAAGTCGCTGTCACCTCCCTGCCTCACCACCTGCAGCAGCTCAGGGCTGAGCCCATCCTTCCCTGCACCTCTGGGAAGTTTAAATCCCCCTGAGCACAAATCTCCCTTCAAAGCCCAGCGGGAGATCCATCAGCACACCGGGATGTGGAAATACAAATTATTCCAGTCTGCAGACACCCCACTGAGTGTCCTTCCACTAAAATCCCATGGCTGTGTTCAGCCAAGAGCTCTGCCTAGGAATGCAGCACATGGAATTTCCTCCCTGAGTCACATTCATATGGAATATTCTTTGAAATCAGCGTTTTTCTTACAGTCCCCCAGCACATCACGAGGTAAAAGGGAATTAAATCTCAATTCTGCACTGCACTTTGTTTTTTATCCCCTACACAAAGCTCTGCCCTCAGGCCTCATTAACGCCCACCTGAGGGTTTTATGAGACACTGAAAAAGCTGCTCCTCGCAGATTCAGAGCTGGAAATCCTTATCAAGGCTATTTATAAGCCAATAGCAGATCAATGCAGCATCTGATCAGGCTGGGTCTCTCTCTAGCACCACACCAGCAACATGAAACAGAGAAATATCCCACCCAGATTGAGCCCTGGCTCCTCCTGCTCCTGTCTGAACTCGAAATAGCTCTCCCTAGAGAGGGAAAGCTCAGAGTTCAATCAAAAATCACTTTTCTAGTTCCATAACCCTGGGCAGGGTGGTCAATCCTGCCTTAATTCTCCATCCACTTCTCTCCACAGCCAGATTCACCTTCAGTGAAGGATTTTGGATTTTTCCAAGTCAAGGCCTAATGATCCATCCTGCCAAGTTAGTGCCATTTGCACTGAAAATTCAGATTTTTAACAAGCAACACCGTTCTGGGAAGAAAGTGGTGAAGGATGCCCAAAGGAATGACAAATTATCCAGGGTAAAATCCATGATTTTCATCTGCTGCTCGGGAATATTTTGAAACTGGAAACAAATTCAACGGTTTAACATAAATCTGATGCAGGAAAAAGATAGTCTGGCATGAAATTCAATATCAAAAAGCCCTCAGCATCTTGTAAAAAACACTGACTCAATGAAAAGCTTATGCAGGCTGAAATTGTAAAATGATAAAAAAAAAACGAAAGAGCTAAACATTCTTTAGTTTGCACTAGTTTTGAAATTTCATGTTTACAAGCTATTAAGTTCCTCCTCAGAAAACTCCTTTTCAGATGCAGAAGAAATCAAACTTGAGACAATTTACCCACAGACTATGTTTGAATCAACAGAGGCATCCCAAAATATCTCCAGGAAATTGAGAGCACACGTTTTTAAACCCCAACACTCTGCTTGCCCAAAATCGGTGAGAGAAGCGTTTTCTGTTGGGCAGGAGCATCACTTCAGTGATGTGAGGATAATTCTGAATGGATCACATTGAAAATTACAGAATTGTGGAATGGGTTGAGCTGGGAAGGATCCTAAAGATCATCCAGGGGATGGGCAGGGACACTTTCCACTATCCCAGGCTGCTCCAAGCCTTGGACACTTCCAAGGATGGAGCAGCCACAGCTGCACCAGGGCCTCACCACCCTCACAGGGCAGAAATTGAAACAGGGGGTAAAAAAACCTCCAAAATCCCTAAGAATCAGCCCCTTACTGTGAAGTAGAACTGCTCAGTCTCCTGCTGGTTTGCCCTCCTCTTGGCGATGCTGGGTTTGCTCATGAACGTTTCCGACACCGTGGATTTCACCGACTCCATGGAGTTGCTGTACTGGAAGCAGTCAGAGACATCAAAGTCCTCTATGGTGACAATGTCCTGGATCGTCTGCAGCGTGGCCTCCATCGTCTTCTTAACCTGCCCAGCAAGGAGGAGACAACCCAAAACCTCAAGGTTTTCTCTTGTAAGCAAACAGCAAACAGATATTACTGGTTTCACACCCTGCGTGCTGTAATTAATTCTGGCTCGTTAACAGCACAGTCCATGCAAGCACAGAGCTGGCAGCACCCTGAACCTGCCAGCACCCGGTGCCAGGATTGCAGTTGTGATCTCAAGGGCTGGGATCAGGAGGAGATGGAGAGAAATTTCACCTCAAAGCAAAGAAAGCTGGAACAAAGATTTCCCTAAATTGTCTTCTGCAACTGCATCTACTGGGTGTCAAATGTTAATTACAAACAGGACTCTGCTGCACTGTGCATTTTTACTGAAGGCCAGAATCAACTTTCCAGACATAAAAGGGGTTGTAAATTTTGCCCCAAAATTCCTGAACAGATATTAGATTCCCGTTCCTGTCATCTTCCTCTCACCTTGGATAGCCAACGAAACAAAAATCACTTTAACTCAGGTTATGCAAACTCACTTCAAAACATTAAATTCCTCCTTTTCCATTTGCTATCCAAATTCAACCTTGGCAATACAGCCAGTCTTACCAAGGTAAGGATGGGAGGAGAGATATGGGGGGGTATTTTAAAGGATTTTAAAGGATTCTCTCCAAACACCCAACTTCGCTGTGAGATCACACAATAATTTATTCACAAGATGCTTTGGCCTTGAATTTTACCACAAATGTTAACAAAAAGGGATGACAACAACCAGATTCTTCCACAATCAGTGCCCAATAACCACTGGAAGTGGCTAAGAGGGGCTGCTGAGTTTTGGTTATTCACTGACCTCTTCATTTTCAATCTTCAGCGTCGACAGCCGGGACTGCAGCTGCTGACACCTCTGCACCAGCTCGCTCTGGACCGGCTGCTGGGCACAGAGCTGGGACTCCTGCAGGAGAAACAGCACAGCAGAGCATTGCAGTCACTCATTTATTTATTTATCAGACACAAACACTCTCTGAAGTGCTGAACTTCCAAACTGGGTTTCAACCGGAGGAGAAAGTTCTGCAGAAGCTGGGAGGATGGAACAGCAGGCAGGAGATGATGGCAGCATCAAAGAAGAGCTAGAAAGCATCAGCTGCTCTCAGTGATGTCAGCTCATGGTGTGCTGTGCAAGTCTGGAGGTGCTGTATCCCAGGTATTTGGATAAACCACATCAAAAATGAAGAATTTGGTTCAGTTCTTCAGCCAGGCACCCTGGGCTAGGGGCACAAGGGGCTGGGATTGCCCAGCTGAGCCACCTGCACGGCACAGCAACAGGCACAGGTCACTCCTGGACGAATCCAGGGCAGCTGAAATAAAAAGAGCACTGGCTGGGGACCTGTCACACACACCAGAACAGCGAGGTTCCCTGAGCTGCTCGTTTTGTTCTGGGTTTTGTGTGGGTTTTTTTACAAGAAAACACTGACCTCGCTGCCTGAGGCTGTTTCTTCAGAGACAGAAATTGAAACTGGGAGTTTAATCCCACCTGTGCACACACAGGATCACACATTCTGATTTCATCTGCTGCGTGCAGCACCACTGCAACAAGAGCATCAGCTGCATTTCTAAACACTCCTCAGGCCTTGAGAGATAAATGATAAATGATTCAGTGAATGGGAGCTGCTCCTGAATGAGACTCTGCAGGTGATTCCTTTTCTTCCTACGCTCTTACAGCACCACAAGCACAGAAAAATCCAGGAAAGGTCATTTGGAGTCTGAAAAACGGGAGAGACAAAGGAGAGCCTGGAGCAGTGGCTGTAATTCCCAGCCCAAAAGCAGAGGCTGTCTGCAGGAGCCTGTGCTCGGGGGATGATCTGGAAATGCAACCAACTGACCTGAATTGTCACTCTGTGCTTGTGCTCCCACTCAGAACCAGTTCCACTTGTGGGGCTTTCACAGCTCCCAGCTGAGCAACCACGTCTTGTTAAACACAAAGAGGAGAGGGGCTTGCCCTGCCAAAAATGAAGATTCCTCTGACAGCCCCAGCTCACAGGGAGGATGCAAAAAGCACCACCACAAAGCATTTGTGCTCTCAGGCTGCAAAAAACCAGCATTTAGGGTTCTTATATTGGCCTTTCCAATCTCAAAATTCAGAGGCTGTCTTGGGGATCAGCCTGTGGCTGAAGGAAAGCGTTTCCTACTCCCATTTAATATCAAACCTAATTAAGAATTTTCACCTCCAGTGAAAGGCCAAGGGTCGGGATCAGGTTGGATTTAACAGCAGCTCCTTGTCACAAAGGGACACGTTCAGGTGGGTTTGGGGCATCTGCAGAGAGGGAAACTCCAGAATCTCTGGGGCTGCAAGGGACCTCTGGAGATCATCCAGCTTTGACAGCCAAGAAACTTCACAGAGATATCTCTGCTTCATCTTTTCATCATCTCCAACCTCCCAGGCTCCCCAAAGAGCCCACCAGGCAGCCCTGGAGGGGTCAGGTAATCAAAAGTGAGGGTGATAAACAGGCAGAGTGCACCCACACTGACCATGTCCCCCATGTGTGGCTGGAACTCGAACTTCATGGGGGGGCAGAAGACGTTGTTGTACATCTCCATCAGCCTCTGCTTGTCGCTGTTGGCGTCCAGGTTCTCCACGGCGTTCTCGATGGCGTCCAGCCCCTCGTGCTTGGACTGCTCCAGGTTGAGCTCGGCCGACAGGAACGTCCTCAGGGCTCTGTTCAGGCTGGCGTGGTAGCCCAGGTCACAGCACTGCTGGAAAAACACACACGACTCCAGATGAATCAAGGGAACTCGGGAATGGGGATCTGAGCGCTTCCAGGGGTTGGATAAACCTCTGCTTGGCTTGGGGTTTTGTTGTCTTTGTGGCTGCACAGAGCTCCTCAAGCTGTAACTCCATGTGAATTTTATCATTAATTACCAAGATTAAAGCATTGTAACAGCTTGTGGGGTTTTCTTGGAGTTTTTGAGACTTGTTTTTCATGGAGTGCTCGAGACTCATTTCATCCAAAAAGTTTAACAGCAGAATTTCCCTGAATTCTAACCTGACTTTTTTAGGGCTCTTGTTCCTATGAAAACACCCCAAAATCCTTAAATAACACCATTTAAATAATAAAACCAAACCATGCAAAGGAAGAGGAAAGCAAGTCACTGAAGACAGATTGGAGACACAAGATTTGGATCATCTATAAAGGCCAATCTGCACCCAAATAATTCCACAATTCCAGCAAACTGCTTCATTCCTGTGCTCCAGGAAGGAGGAGCACGACCTGGACGTGAAAACAGAGTCACCAAACCCAGCAGCCACCACTTGGGGATGATTTCATTGCTGGGGTGAAACAGAAGAGCAAAAAAACTTTGAAGCAAGAAGTGGTTATGGTCAAGAATTTCCTGGCGATGGCTGACACTGGGATGATGTCACCAGGGGACAATCAAGCAGCTTCATTTCCACCACGGCTGCAAGAGCCAAGTTTTCCTGTTTCAGAAGGGGGAAAAAAAGGAGCTTTTCATTAGCAGGAGATCAGAAGCAGCCTGGATTTTTCAGCCATCTGATAAAGCCAGCAAGAAGGAGCCCACCTTCCTGGAACTGCGAGCAAGATTACATCCACTAGGAGAATATCCAAAAAGGGAAGAAAGAGACCATCTGCTTGATTGCTGTGCTGCTCTGTAAGCAAAATTCACATGAAAACTCCCATCATTTGGGTCTCATCACTGTCATTGTTTGCAAACGCTGGGGGGGAAAAAAAGAGGGAGGGAAAAAAGAAGGGGTGGGGGGAGAGGGAAGAGAAAGTGCTGGACCATTCCCTGCTCCCACAGAATTCCTGCCACCGAGTGCTGGAAGCCTGGCTCTTGTGCCAAACAAGCTGTGGCAGGTGTGAAGCCTTGGAAAAAGAGCTGCAGTTGCTGGTTGGGCTGCAGGCAGAGAATTAAAGGACTTTACATTCAATCAGAAAATAACAAAACCAGCCAAGCAAAAAAAAAAAAAAAAACCACCCAAAAAAACCCCCAAACCAAAAAACAAAAAGCAAAATAAAAGAGGCTTGATTGAGAATCTGCACGTGTGGAGGGAGCCTTGGATGGAGAGGCACTCCCAGCTCAGTCTGCAGCCATGGGGGAAAGATGGGACTGGGACAGGGATTGGGATCAGCTCACATTTAACAGCAGCACTCACTCCTTCCCACAGGATTTTTGGGGTTGCAAGGGACCTCTGGAGATCACCCAGGTCAAGCCAGGGTCACCTGGAGGTGACAAAGGGACACATCCAGGTGGGTTTGGGGCATCTGCAGAGTGGGAAACTCCAGGACTTCCCTGGGCAGAAGTTCCAGGGCTCTGCCACCCTCATGGACAGAAGCTCCTCCACGTGTTGAGGTGGAAATTTATTGTGTTTGTGGTTTATTATTCCTTGTTCTGTCACTAAACAGAGCCTGGCACCGTCCTGGCATCCCTTGGGGAGGTTTGTAGGGTTTGGTGGGAGGTTTGTAGGGTTTGGTGGGAGCTTTGTAGGGTTTGGGGGAGGTTTGTAGGGTTTGGGGAAGGTTTGTAGGGTTTGGTGGGAGGTTTGTAGGGTTTGGTGGGAGCTTTGTAGGGTTTGGTGGGAGGTTTGTAGGGATTGGGGGAGGTTTGTAGGGTTTGGTGGGAGGTTTGTAGGGACTGGGGGAGGTCTGTAGGGTTTGGTGGGAGGTTTGTACGGATTGGGGGAGGTTTGTATGGATTGGTGGGACCCCCTCTCAGCCCCCAAATTGTCTTTGTGGGTTCTGCTGGACCCTCTCCAGCAGCTCCCTGTCATTCCTCAACTGCAGAGCCCAGAACTGAACACAATTCCTGCTGGTGCACCCTCCCAGTGTGACCAGTTTGTCCTCCCAGTGTCCCCAGGACTGCACTGGGAGGACTGGGAACCCAAAGGGGAGCTCATGTGTCACACCCCACCTCGCTCAGGTGGGCTCTTTGCTATTGAATCCACTGACAGAAAACATCTCCCAGCCCATTCCCCCACTTTAAAGAGATTTTTGTGGGGTTTTTTTTAAGTCCAGTGTTTATAAATGCACCAGTCCTGCCATCCCTTTTCTGGGTTATATAAATGTTTGATGGAATCGCTCTCGAAGGAAATCAATTTTTTATAAGAATTTAATGATAACTCATTCAAATTCACTTCCCAACACGACAGCTGATTAACCCTTTGCCAGTTAGCTGTCAAACAGGCCTCAAAAATAGAAGATTTAAGGGGAAAAGGCCCTTTGTTTTAAGATGTAATTCACATTTGGAAGGGGAAGGATGAGATCCTGGAGTAGGCAGCCATAGACCATCTATTCCTGGAAGAGCAAACCAAGCTCTGGGACTCACACACACGTTTTCATCTTTTTTTTTTTTTTCCTTCCATCCTGTCCTAGTGACCCTTTTATAAATATGAGTTAATGCAAACTTCCCCATTACTGTAATATTTCATTAGCATCAAAGAGCTGCCTCAGTCCCCAAAGTCAGGAAATTCAAAACTACTGGGTTATGGCAGAAACAATTTATTGCTCTTAACTCTCCACAAGGAATTAACTCCCTGTTATCCTTCCCTGCACACTGCAGAGGGAACAATGTGCTGGACATACATGACATTAAACAAACTTTGGCCTAACACAATCTCCTTGTAAGTAACTTTGAAGATTACTTTTATATTATATTTCAAAATTCAATATCACCAAACGATTAGATCGAGGGAAGGCATTACAGCCTGGCTTAAAAATCACATTTTTTATTCAAGTCAGATGGCTCAGATAACCATCACTGGTTATAATTGTTAATTTTCAATCCTTCAGGATCAAAGGCATTAATAAATCTATTTTCCCTGTGTCTCAACAATGAGATAACTGAACTCCATCTCCTGTGCTCCCAGACAAGTCCCACATTTTTCCATGCCTGAACACAGAGCAGATAATGCTTTTATTTTGAAGATGATGGGATTTTGTAGAGTTAAACTGAACGCTCCAAGGGCAGGGACTCACCCAGAGCCACAAGGAACAGCCAAATTCCCTGGAATTCAGAAGTTTGTTCTCATTCAGCTGGGACTGCCCAGGGAGAGCAGCCCTTTCTCTCAGGGTAGCCCAGATTTGTCGTGTCCTGCTGAAAACACCTCAGCTCTGTGCTCAGGAATCATTCTGGGCTTGTGAAACCCAAAAGCATCCTCTGCTACCTGTGATTCATGAAAATACACCAAGAACAAACTGAACCAGGCAGCATTTCAGGGGAAGACTTGAGAGACACAGCTTTGGATGAAAAATACTAAAACTATGAAATGAGGCTGATGTTGGTGAAATTAATCCCAATCTTGTGGCTTTGATAGAAATATATACAGAGAGTTTTAATTTGTTAAAAACCCAGGGCCATGCAATTAAGGTTGAGCAAATGTTAAGCAAAACAGGACTCCCAAAAAGGCAGCAGGAATAAACAAACCAGGCCTCTGCAGCACAGCAATCCTGCAAACCACAACATTTGGAAATAACAGCATTTTTCAAGCCCACTCTCAGTGACAGCCCTGACCTCCAAAGGACAGGTTTAAATCAACACCTGGCACAAGAGCACTCCAGGAGAGTTTATCATCAGCTGAATAAATGTATGCTATAGACTGCTGGTTATTCTAATAGCTGGGTAATTAATTGAGATCTGAGTGCTCTTTACTGCCTGTGTCTAGAGACTCTTGTGCTCATCACTCCCTGCTCCTCCACAGCAGCTCCCTCCAGGCTCTGCAGCCACGAGATTCCAGCAGGGATGGCCTTGGAAACAGGATCCCACACTCAGGGGAATGATTGGGAACAGGATCCCACACTCAGGGTGTCCAGGGGAAGGATTGGGAACAGGATCCCACACTCAGGGTGTCCAGGGGAAGTGATGGACAGAGGTGCCCACCTGAGAAATGCTCTTGTCACAGCTTAGTGACCAACTGCAGGGCCACTGCCACCCCCAAGCTGCCCAGCCCTGCTGTGCAGAGCTTTCCAGCTGTGCAGAGCTTTCCAGCTGTGCAGAGGGAGGAGAGGGACGTGGGAGGCTCCCGGCCCCAGCACTTACATCAATGAGATCAGACAGGTCGTGGATGTAGTACTTGAACACCGAGGCATTGGTGGCTTCCAGGGCCAGCAGATACTCATTCCTCGCCTTGATTGCCTTCAGCCTGTTCTCTGTGTACTTTGCTTGGCGCTGAAAGGCAACAAAAAGCAGAAGAGAGCGTTAAAAGAGGTGAGCAGCGCTCTGAGTAACACCAGAGAGCACTGAGCAAACCTTACTCTGCTCACACAGATTTTGCCCATTTGAATTCCAGTTCTGCCAGGACTCCAAGGCTTGAAATGCAGATTAATTATTTAGATGGGCTTAAACATTGCTAAACTGGATTCAAAGTCTTGAGGCTGTGGGATGGGGATGATTAAAGGAGGAATGAAGGGACAAGGAGGGTTTAGGAGGTTATGGCCCAGCTCCAGCACCACCAGAGAAGCCCATGAGGGTCTGAGGGTTGCTACAGGCACTCCATCTCTTCCAAGGCCTAAACTTTGTCCTTCCAGAGCCTAAATCCATTCAAAAATAACCCCTTCTCTTGGTCTGAACCTTAGAGCTGAACTGCTGGAGGAACCAATTGCTGAGCCCACTGGTTCTGCCCCCAGAGCCAGTTTGGGATTGCTGGCCTTGTGCTCTGGACAACAAAAATAATCACATTAACCGTGGTTTCCAAGCAGGTAACTGCTGCTCTCCCATCTAACCTGGTTTCAGCTTTTTGTGCCATGCCTGGGGTTACACAAACTGCACCTGACCATCCTGAAGGAACCCTGCTGCTGGGTTTGCCTTTCCTTCAGCTGAAATAAAACCTGCAGGAATAAAACCTGCAAAAATGAAACCTGCAGGAATAAAACCTGCAAAAATGAAACTTGCAGGAATAAAACCTGCACAAATTCAAGCTGCACAAATTCAAGCTGCACAAATTCAACCTGCACGAATAAAAATCTGCACAAATTAAAACTGCACAAATAAAACCTGCACAAATTAAACCTGCACGAATTAAACCTGCACAAATTCAACCTGCACAAATTAAACCTGCACAAATAAAAACCTGCACAAATTCAACCTGCACAAATAAAGCCTGTAGAAATTAAACCTGCACAAATGAAACCTGCATGAATTAAACCTGCACAAATTAAACCTGCACAAATAAAAACCTGCACAAGTAAAACCTGCACAAGTAAAACCTGCACAAATTAAAGCTGCAGAAATTAAAGCTGCAGAAATTAAACCTGCAAGAATTAAACCTGCAAAAATGAAACCTGCACAAATAAAAACCTGCAAAAATTCAACCTGCACGAATAAAACCTGCACAAATGAAACCTGCACAAATGAAACCTGCATGAATTAAAGCTGCACAAAGAATGGGTTTGGCTGTGAGGAGGGAATCACTGGCTCCTGTGCACCCTTGCCAGTACCTTCTCCTTCATCTTCTCGATTTTTTTGACAGAGCTTCTCCGGACGTGTTTCTCCTCAAACTTGACGTTGGAGGTGGAGTCGGGGGAGCGTGGGGTCTGTTTGTCCTCCTGCTTCACCGACTTCCCAATCTGCTTCTCCTCCTGCTTCTCTGCCTCCTTCAGCTTGCTCTGGGCACTGATGCTGTCAGCGTTGTACATGTGGTAGGTTTTCATCACCTGCAGACAACAAAAAACATCACTCAGGGCCCAGGGCTGTTGGGTCTGAAATACCTGAGGCAGGGAAAAAACACAGAAAACCACTCAGGGAAATTTCCCAGGTCAGAGGAGCAGGGCAGGAGGTGCCTGAGAGAGTGTGGCTCCCAAAACGGGTCTGAAATCCAAGTGGGTGATTCTGCAGCTGCTGCTTTGTTTGGCTTTGGCGTGTGCCTTCTTGCACAAGCCAGTAAAGGAGGCACAAAAACAACAAAAAAAGACTAAATCCAGCCTCCTGGACTGCTCAAAAGAAATGATATGGCAGGAAAATGAGAGCTTTTCATCAGCAGGTAAGGTTTCTGAAGGGAGCCCTGCCAGCCTTTCATCTGGGTGAATCAGAGCTTTAAACATCACAGGGTGGAAATCCAGTCTCAGCTGCGAGAGCCACTCAGGCTCCATTTGTACAAATCGAATTTGGGACATAAAAGTACTTCTGGGCACTTAATGGAATAAAAAAAAAGTGTTTCTCGCATGTAGGGAGACCCAGACCCTGTGTGGTGTGGACAACTTCTATTAAAGCACATTTTTATAGGTAAATATAGCTAAATATCCCCCCCACAGTCAGGAAAATCCCATTTGTTTCATGTCATATTAATGTCTAGATTTGTGTTAAGCAAATAGAACCCAAGGACATGAGGTATAAACCAGTTTTTTTATCCATAAACGCAAAGCAATCTGAGTCCCACGCCAAAACAAACACGATGCAACACTCACAGGGGGCAAAAAAAAATTGCAAAACTGCATTAAGTCACCCATTCCAGCAGCAATAAAGGCTCCACTTGTGAATAATTTGATTTATCTCAGCTGAAAACCCGTTTAGAGCTATTTTGCAGCAGAACAGGACACAATTTCACCTGAGTGGGCTGCGTGCCCCAGCTCTGCAGTGATCAGCAGAGGTCCCAGATCCAAAGAGACTCTGGATTTAAACATGAAAGGGAATGTGAGTGCAGCCAGCGCTAAAGAACATCCTGAATAATTCACACAGCCGCGCTCCCAGCCCCTGCAGATGCTCAGACTGTAAAGCAGGCGTTTATAATTATAATAATAGATGCAGAGGAGTTGCTTTTCCTCTCTTGCTCGGAGTGGAGCTGGCAGAGAGCAGGAGCAGAGGGAGAAATCCCAGTTTGAGTGGGTTTGTGATGGTTTTGTGCCACGTTGGCAGCCACAGGCGCTGGTGTGGGGACACTGGTGACTCACTGGGGTCTGCAGAGGGCAAAAATTACAGGCTGGGACAATGTTATTTGTGTAGAAAAAAGTAAAGATTTCACTCAGATCCATTTTACCTAAAAGCAGGGATCCTGCCAATCCTTTGGATATGGAATTAGGGAATCACTGAGGTTGGGAAAGACCAGCTTTGGTTGATCACCCAGCCCAGAAAAAGAGGTGGAATTGCTTCTAAAAGTACCCCTAAATTTAATCACTGGTGAGGTGCCTTTAATTCCAGCAAAAAGCATCTTTTAGCACCATCAGGAGTGGCTTTTTGCAAAGGAAAAGGTTTTCTGGTGAAGGGACAATTTACAGTTCTGCAGCAGGAGGAATGAATAAATAGATTTCAAATTCCTAGATATTAAAAATATCAATACCTTCCATCACTTTGTTTAGCAAAGGCTGAATTCTGGAAGTTTTTGCTTCCAAAGGGAGAGAAATTAGCAGAATTCACTATTTGGCTGAAAAAAATGAGCCTGGCACCCAGAAATGATCCCCTGTCCATGAAACTCCAGAGCCAGCTGAACTTGGATCAGAAATTTACCTCCTAAATTTAGAGACAGATCCATATCTTTCCTTAGGATCCCATCCATGACAGGACTCAAAAGTTGACCTGATCACGCCCTCAAACAGAAAATCATTTCTGCAGAGCTGATTTGCCTGAATATTTGGCTTTGAGGCATTAATTGTAACAAATGCTAATGAAACTATTCCCTCTATATATTTATTGACACAGGAAATTTCAGGGAACCCCCCCCCTGAAACTCTGCAAAACTGGTTTTTACCCCAAATTTCACCACAGGGTCAATATGTTCACAGCCTGAGAGCAAACCCTGGGTCACCTTCTGGAAGGAGGAAGGCCAGACCGTAAATCTCAGTGTCACGACCCAACAAACCACTCAGGAAGGACAAAAATAAAAGGGATTTTGAGCCACTGGACAGCGAGTTCTGCTTTTAAAGAAGAGAACTCGCTCAGTGTCAGCTGCAGGAAGCAAAATTTTCATCAAGCAAGAGGCTCCTCCATTCATGTGTGCGAGGAGAAGAAAATCCCCAGGCACGTGAAACCCTGGGGAAACTTCCTTCCTCTTCCTCGGTGTCTCCAGGGGATTTATTGAGAGGCAAAAAGCAGAGATGGGAAACTCTTCCTGCAAAAGGAGCTGCTCTGCTCAGGGCTGAGGGACAAAAAAGCTCAGTGGGTGCCTCTGAAGGCTCACACCACACAAACCCCGAGATTTTTGGTGTTTTTGGGGATAATTCTCCTATCTCTGGCTTCTTTTTTTTAAACCAGCAAAGTAACAAATGGGCAGGGAGGTGAGCCAACACTTAGAGAGCTGAAACAACAGCAGGACAGAGGGGGAAAAAATGGGATTTATGGAGCTTTATAGCAGGGAGTGCAGCCTTCTCTCAGCCTTGGTGGGAGAAGTCAAACACTTCTCCCTTCTGCCTGAGGAGATGCCAAGAAATCAGCTTGATTTACCGTGTAGAGTTCATTCAAGACCTTCATCAAGTCCTCCTGGAGCTGCAGTCCCACTTCCTTGCTCTGCAACAGAACAGAGAAATGAAAGTTAATTGAGGAAGATGCTGCAGAGGCAGAGGAAGCGAGCACGGGGCATCCACAAATAATTTAGGGGTAATTAAACACCACCGTTTGTGCTGGCAAATCCAATCAGTGCCCAGCCCAGAGGCACTCAGGGTCACGTTGTACCAGGAGTATAAATAAACTGAAATCCCACATGGGCACAGCCAGAAAAGCTCTATGGAACACAGATGGAAATTTCCAGAAAATGTGAAATTTTTCGATTCTCCAACCTGAAAATATAGAATTTTTTCCCATTTGAATAGGATGGAGCAAGACTGAGGGTACAGGACAGCTTGGGGTGGAAGATGAAGAAAAGCAGGATTAAGGAAATCACCACAATAACAATAACTTAATTCAGTTTATAGATTTTACTCATTCACTGCCCACTAAGGCAGCACTTGTGTGTTCCAACCCTCATGTTACCAGTGTTTAATATCAACTGGGGCAAGCAAATTTGATAAATTCAAGATTATTTATGCCTACAACATTCAGGAAAAGAAACAGATAAAGAGGCAACGCAGCCAAACCCAGGCTTAAACCAACATTTCTGCCCAGGAAGTCAAGATAGTGCTAAGCCACGAGGAAAAAAACCCAATAACACACTGATAAATTGAAAAGCCAGAAGGGAAAGATTATCTGATTTGAATTTAAATTATTCTTTTCCCCGTAGTGACCAGTTCAGCAGTGCTTGGAGTGTGCTTCTGAGATGAAAAAAATGCTCTATTAGATGAAAAAATTGCTTTATTAGATGAAAAAATTGCTTTATTAGAGCATATTTTTGTATTATTTTGGGGTGTTGTGGTTCAGACCAGCCTGGAATTGCTCTGTTGGCAGCACAGTGGGATTCACAAGTATCCAATGCCAAACCCTTTGGATTCTCCACATGTTCCAATCCCATATTCCTCACCCACCTGCCCGAGGAACAAAGAGCACCCAACACAAACGCTGACAAAGGAAAGGAGTTTCTAATTTAGAGAAAAGCACGGAGCTGCTGATTCCCAACCTCCAAGGGAGTTTGGAGGAACAAACCCAAGGGATTTGCACCTCTGGCAGCCGGGGCTGCTGCTCACCCTGCGGTGATCCGGGGTTTTCTGGCTGCCTTTTCCTCCTCGTGTTGATGATTAATGGAATGGATAATGGATAATTAATGGAATGGATAATGGACTGCCTGGATCCGTCACTGAACTTTTCCCTGTTCCCTTTTCCAGTGCTGCTGGAACCTCCTGGCCCCATCCTCTGCCTCTCCCAGCCCGTTTTTGCTCATTTCTTGCACTAAAAAATCGCTCGTTTTCCGCACAGACTGCTGAAGCATCAATTATACAGCAGAGATTAAAATGAGTATTTTAATGCAGATTTCGGGTTGAAAGGGGTAAAAGAAGATGCCAAATTGTCAAAACACGAAACTCTCTGTGCTTCCAAATGAGCTCTCGAGAAAGGAGCTGCTGGATTGCTGGACTGGGAAAAAAACTCCTTCCATTAAGATGAAGGTAAGACAGATCACAGGGGACATCAGAACAAGAGCTGTGCAATGAGCACTGTTAATGTAAAACTGTTCCCTGCACTGATTCCACCCTAAAAAAAATGTCTAGGAGAAAAAAAGCTGAGCTGGCTGACCCTGATAAATGAAAATACATTGGAGGAAGCAGAAGAGTTTGCTTGGGAAAGTCAGAGGAAAATGGGTTGGAGGTTAGGAAAAAGTTCTTGGTTTTTCCTAATGTAGTGTAGTGGAGGGAGGTGGAGGTGATGCCCAAGGAGAATTCCCCTGAATTCCCACAGAGTTCCCAGTGCAGATTAAAGGCTGCTGATCCCACTGCCATACAGGCATGAGAGATTCCAGCATGGTGCCAGAAAGTGCCACGGAATTAGGAATAAAATCCGTGCCAAGGAAAGACAACAACAGTCCTGGCAGCTGTCAGTGTCTCCATATCAATTGCTATTGCAGCAGCAAATTTGTCATTGTTCTGTATTTTCTCTATTATTCTGTGTTTTGCAAAGGCTGAACGATGCATTTTGTAAACAAGGCAATAAATGAAAGATATTCTGATCAGCTTCACTGTGATCTCCTCCTGGCTGTACCTGCAGCCACATCTACCTGCACCTCCCTTAACGTGAGGAAGAGCTTGTGCAACAAAATCTTAATTAATTGGCTGCACTAATGAGCTGGGTGTGTGTGTGTGTGTGGGGTGGAGGTGTCCCCACAAGCTGTGTGCCCTGATCTGATCAGGTTAAACCCTTCTCCTGTAGATGTGGGAGATGATCTGCTTGAAGAGCATCTCTGGGGCACGGCAGGAGCTCCCTGCACAGCTCAGGGTGCAGCTCCTCACCTGTGCTGGGCCCTGAGAGGTCACCAAAGAGCTCCCACCAGGTGAGAAGAGACCTTTGGAGACCATCGAGTCCAACCCAACACCTCAACTAAACCACGGCACCCAGTGCCACATCCAACCTTTTTATTTTTTAAACACATCCAGGGGTGGTGCCAACACCACCTCCCCACACAGACCATTCCAGAACTTCATCACCCTTTCTGTAAAAAACCTTTTCCGAATATCCAACCTGTATTTCCCTTGGTGCAGCTCAAGGCTGTGTGCTGTGCTCTGTCAGTGCTGCCTGGAGAAGGAAACCAGCCCCACCTGCCCACAGCCACCTTTCAGGGAGCTGTAGAGGGTGATAAGGTCACCTCTGAGTCTCTTTTTCTCCAGGCTGAACATCCCCAGCTCCCTCAGCTGCTCCTCACAGGGCTCGTGTTCTAAATCCATCACCAGCTTTGTTGCCTCCTCTGGACAAGGAAGAGGAGGAGGAGGAGGAAGGCTTCCCTTCCTCTGACGTCCAGGGAGGTGCTGAACACCCCTTCCCTTCCTCTTCAAACCAGGGGTGCTGAACACCCCTTCCCTTCCTCTGCCATCCAGGGGTGCTGAACATCCCTTGCCTTCCTCTTCAAACCAGAGGTGCTGAACACCCCTTCCCTTCCTCTGCAAACCAGGGGTGCTGAACATCCCTTCCCTTCCTCTGCCATCCAGGGGTGCTGGACATCCCTTCTCTTCCTCTTCAAACCACAGAGGTGTTGAACACCCCTTCCATTCCTCTGCCATCCAGGGGTGCTGGACATCCCTTCCCTTCCTCTTCAAACCAGAGGTGCTGAACATCCCTTCCCTTCCTCTGCCATCCAGGGGTGCTTAAAACCCCTTCCCTTCCTCTGCAAACCAGGGGTGCTGAACATCCCTTCCCTTCCTCTGCAAACCAGGGGTTCTGGACATTCCTTCCCTTCCTCTTTAAACCAGGGAGGTGCTGAACATCCCTTCCCTTCCTCTGCCATCCAGAGGTGCTGAACACCCCTTCCCTTCCTCTTCAAACCACAGAGGTGCTGAACACCCCTTCCCTTCCTCTGCCATCCAGAAAAGCAGCAGCAGCAGCAGCCAGGGAAGTCCCAGCAGGATGTGGCAGGAATGCCAGGCTGTGGATGCAGGTTTTCCCCAGCCCATGAGGCTGCTGTGAGCACACACACACACTCCTTTGTTACTCCAGGGTGTATCTGCACCATGTGCAAGGCTGGAGGTTCTGCCACCCCTGGCTGGAACATAAATTCCCAGCACGGGCTGTGCCAGCTCCTCAACAGCCTCTTTGTTCCAGCCCTCCTCCCCTCCACCTCCCCTCTAATTTAATCAAGATGTTTTTGGGATCTACTGCGGGGCTCGCCGGGTTCCGCATTCCACCCAACATTAACGACTTCAGCTTCCAAATATTTGGGGGGGGGGTAATAAAGAGGAGAGCTCAGGAATGCCGTCAACATTTTCTGCCCCAGCAAGGTCCTCCCAAAGCCTGACAGAAAGATGGGATGGCTTCAAAACCAACATTCCCTGGAGTTCCTGAGGTGCTTTCCCCAAAAACAGCCAGCAAGGGCTCAAGCCACGGCAGGGGGAATGTGTAACACACCAAGATAAGAGATTTTTATCTAATTTGCTGCCTCAAATTATGTCAGAGGATGACAGCTGGAGCCCAAATCTGCTGATGCTGGAACAGCTCTGGAACAGTATCTCTGCATCTTTTTAGAAGTAACAATTAAATATGCCTAGGTGGGGAATAAACATTAAATATTCCCGTATTTTTTGACTCACCAGTGGAGTGATTCCAGGAGGGGAGCAGGGATGTAGCACAGCTCTGCACCTCAATGAGAGTTTTACTCGTGGCATTTGCACTTTTACAAATTCACACCGTGATGGGTAAATATTTTTTACAGATGCCCAGCATTTTAACCATTACACTTCTGGCTTTTCCTTGTGTGTTGTGCTTTAAGATTTGTCATATTCTGGTACCAGAGCAGCAGGAGCCTCAGTGCAGCTGTAAAGTAGGTCATGACAGACCCCTTCAGAGAATTAATAATTCTTCTTTCTTGATTACTGCAAGGCTTTTAACCAACTCATTGTGGATTTTCCATTTCACATCAAACAGCCTGCAGTGTACCAGGAGATAAACTGGGGTTTTTTCCCACCATCAAAGGGGCTGAACAGGAGAATTTTGGTTGGTTTTCTTGATTCCAAACGGGGGTTTCTCCCCATAAATATCCTCAAATGAGGGGATACAGCAGGGAAAGGTCCCTGCCCCAGCAGCCCAGAGAACCTCCCAGCTAAAACCAGAGCAGAAAATGTGTTTTAAACCCAGCAGAGCAGGCAGATGCTGAGCTGGTACCTGGCTCAGCTCGGAGACACAGCCTGTCCCGAGGCCCCTCTGCCCACAGAATAAATCTGCTTTTCTCTCCATTAACATTTGCCAGTCACTTCACAATTTCCTCATGTAAAAATCTGTCAAACTGAAAATAATCAGTTTGTTCAGACACCGCTCAAAGTGAGGCTTCCACAGTCCGCTCTTGCAAAAAAAAAGGTAATTTTCTCTTTTATTTTATTTTTTTTTCTTTCAATTTGAACAAGATTATCGGGCTGCTGCTAGGAAAATTTCAAAGAGACAACACAGAAAGAGTGATTAAAGAGACCAAATTAAAGAAACTGCTGCTCAAAGGTCTATACATGTATAAATAATCCCAAGGGATCCCACTCAAAAGATACGTCTGGAGGCAAGAAAACCTGATAACCATGCAAGAAACAGGAAGGTTGCACCATGCAGAGAAATGAAGGGTCACAATAAACAGAGAGGGTGACAGGGGGATAGAGAGAAAAAGGGAAATCAAAGCAGGAATCAGCTCAAACAGAAGAATCTTGGGGTTAAAAAACCCAAATATAAATATAAATATAAATATAAATAAATATAAATATAAATATAAATATAAATATAAATATAAATACATAGATAAAGAAATGTAGAAAAAGGGAAATCAAAGCAGGAATCAACACAAATAGAAGTGTATTTTTTGGGGAAAAAATACACATATAAATATAAAAAAAGAGAGAGTGACAGGGGGATAGAGAGAAAAAGGGAAATCAAAGCAGGAATCAGCTCAAACAGAAGAATATTTGGGGTTAAAAACCCATATATAAATATAAAAACATACACAGATATAGAAATGTAGGAATAAATAAATAAAGGGGCCGTGCTGAAGGAGGACAAGCAGGAGAAATCAAAGGGAGATGAAGGAATAAAAAGGAGCAGACATCAAAGCAGGATGAGCTTCCAGGAGAGGGAGAGGTGACTGGAATAGCAACGCTGGTGGCACCAGGGCTGGGAACCAAAGCCAGCCCTAAATCATTAACCCTGCCCAAACAAGAAAACATCACCTCCTCCCCAAGGTGGAACTGTTTGTAACCAGGACAATTCCCACTCCCCTCTCCAGTTTTATTTGCTGGAAATGTGGTTATTTCACCATTTATCTTCCACAGAATTGTCCCTGGGGGCAGACAAATCCCAGACTCCCACTGACAGCGTCAGGATTCATCTTCAGCCCTGTAAGAGCAGCCAGTCCCTGATCAGCAGCGTCTCCCACCCACACCTGAAAGCGTTTCCTCAGGAGAAACCAAAACAAGGGCATGGAAAAGTACAGTGCTCCAAGAATCCCTGCTCCTGCAGGAAAAGGGACCCGGGGAAGTAAACAAAGCCCAGAGGCAGGAGAAAAGGGGCTGACACACGATGTTCATCCAGCAGCACAGATAGCTTTGATGTGGCTGGTAGGCCCCCATCCATCCATCCATCCATCCATCATCCATCCATCATCCATCCATCATCCATCCATCATCCATCCATCATCCATCCATCCATCATCCATCCATCCATCCATCATCCATCATCCATCCATCCATCATCCATCCATCATCCATCCATCCATCCATCCATCATCCATCCATCCATCCATCCATCATCCATCCATCATCCATCCATCCATCATCCATCATCCATCCATCCATCCATCCATCCATCCATCCATCATCCATCCATCCACCCCTCACACAGCCCTGGGGTGGGATCAGGGACAGGACCTGGATCTCCTCGTCCCAGCACCAGACACAGGCACAGTCCAGGATTTCCAGGGTGTTGGGAACCCAAGAACTGCCAGCACCAACCCTCTGAAAGCCTGTGTGCAGCCCTGCTGGGGGCTGGAATTCACTCATTTCAAAGTGACAGGAACACAGCCATGCTCCACCATCAGCCTCGCCCCTGGCAGGGTCTGACAGTCTCACCCTGAGCATTCTCCACCCCAGCCTGAAGAGACAAAACCCACACTGCCACAGCTGCTGGCGATGCTCTGCATGCAGAAGGAGCAGTGTCCCCACCTCAGGCTCTCTGCCTTGCCCTCCTCACTGCCACAAGGACCAAATTCAATCACAGAACCACCAGGGAAGAAACTTTTAAGAACATCAAACCCAGCCCCAACACCTCAACTAAACCACCGAGTGCCACATCCAATCCTTCTTCAACCACATCCAGGGATGCTGACTCCACCACCTCCCTGGGCAGAACATTCCAGCACTTTATCACCCTTTCAGCGAGAAAAACCCCTTATTTTCCTAATATCCAACGTGTATTTCCCCTGGTGCAGCTCAAGGCCGTGTGCTCTGGTTCTGTCAGTGCTGCCTGCAAACAGCTCAGCCCCCACCTGAGCACAGACACCTTTCCTTGCCAGCACAGCCCTTATCACAGGCAGCCAGATCACAGCTGCTCTCTGCCCTCTGAAAAGCTCTCCACACACTCATAGATGCAGCAGCTCAAGAGCTCAGCGACAAAAGGGACCTCAAGCACCTCCTTTTCTTTCCCTGCCCACCTCACCTGCTCCGTCCCAGCACGACACAAAACGCTGATCTGAGAAAAACGGCCCAAGGAAAGGATTTTATACCCCAGGATCTGCTTTGGGGTGCCCTCAGTGGATGAGGATTTCGGTGTCACCATCCTCCCTGCACATTTCATGGTGTTATTTAAAGCTGGATATTTCCCAAATTTAAGATTCCCCACCAACACATACAGCAAGGCAGCCTGGCTTTGCCAGCAACTTGTTTTTATCCCAGGAAAAGGTAAAAAAGATGGAAAAGGTCCCATTTCCTTCAAGTTCAGAGATAATCTGACATCTGTCTATGCTGCTTTGGGGATATTTTACAAACGTGCCACTGAGGTGGGGGTTTCTAAATGGGTATTTATAAATGGGCAACATTTCTTTAAATCCACTGCAAAGCTGATTTGCAATATTTTAATCACACACCTCATCTGTTTTCTAGCCTGCAGTACCTTCTGTACTGATCCAAGCTGCTCAGTACCTTCTGTACTGATTCAAGCTGCTTCTTGCAGCTCAGGAAGGGAAGAGACTCAAGTGAAAAAGCACAACCAGGTCCATGTCAGCCAAATTTCTCTGTTTATCAGCTGGTACCAGATAACAGAGGATGCAATTTTTGGTTTTAACCACCCAGCACAAGTGGAGTTGTAATCAAACACCTGATTTGGCCTTCAGCCAAGCTGGTATTCCTGGCAAACAGCCAAACAAGTAGTTGGGATTTAGCAACAACTGCCTTTTGTTTGCACAAATTTACCTGGAGTTTGCCCTTGGCCTGTGAGAAACAAAGCAGAGATGGTATTTTGATTTTTCATTTTGATTTTGCTGTCTATTTGTTATTTGTTTGTTTTTATTCTAGTCCAAAATAAAATATAAACACGAGTTTGCCCTCCTTTATAAGGGGCTGGAGATAAAGTTGCCATTTCCAGCCAAACTGGGATAATATCAATTTCCAAGCAGTGCTTTGCCAAGGCATTTTCCAGGCCACCTTGCTCCAGCACAGCCCTTGTTGAAATTCAACAGGGAGATTACTCCTCCTTTGGAGGGATTAGAGGAATTGAAGAGTAAGTGCCATTCAATAATCCCGTGTAAGTATCTAATCAACCATAATGTAATTACCAGAAAGTTTTAAAAGGTCAAAAAGGCCTCAGTGTGACGTTACTTAAAAAGGGGAAGATTCCTCCTCTGCTCAGGCAGTGACTTCAAAAAGAAAAGTCTAAGAGAAACAGAATGTAAAAGTGGAATATATTTTTAATTTTCCATTAAAGAGAAACAGAATGCAAAAGTGGAATATATTTTTAATTTTCCATTAAAAAATGAGGAAACAGGCAGGAGTGAGGGAACAGCAGAGATTTTGTTGTCCCAGAGAAATAATCCCCACAAAACCCTGCTGGAACAGGGCACAGGCACCCTGCTCCCCAGGTAAGACACAACAAGATGCTGCTCCTTCAAGTGCATCTTGAACATGAAATATTGCACGTGAAAATTCACAATATCCAGTATTGCTCATTCTCCAACAGCCTAAACAAACTGCTTTTCATAGGGTTTTTTTTTTACACTTAAAGCAACAGACAGAAATGAAGAATATCTGAACAATCCCTCCCTTTTCCAGGCCTTGCAAGAGCAGAAAGAACTCCCCAAGCTCAGGACAGGTTGCAGGGGGTGGGAGAAGGGGGCAGAGAAATAAATGGCTTTTCAAAGTGAAGATTTGCAATGATTTCCACCAGGTGAAGCAGCAGATGTTGCAGCCATTGGCAAATCTCTGCAGGGACCAGGCATCACCCCTGAACAGCACTTTGAAAGCCTCCAGATCATGTTCCTTTAACTGTAAGAACAGAATCCTAACAGGAAAACCCTCCCACGCTGTCCCACCTTCTTTCCCAGGTGGAAATCAAGGGGACAAGGCAAACAAAAGAGACTTCTGCTGTATTTTCTCCTTTTCCCAGATAAGGACAATACATCCTTTTATTACCTAGCATAGCAGGAATTCTCCCCTAATTTTTCTTTTACTTCTCCCTGGCAGATAAAATTCTGTCTTTAAAGTGTTGCTCTTGACTCATGTTCAGAGCTGAAGAACTGGAAGGTTCCTGCTTATTTAATTAAATTTTCAACATCCATACAAAACCGTGGAAAAAGAGGAGGAAAAAAACACAAGCCTTAATTTAGACCAACAAATCTCAACTGGCCACACTGGGGAAAATGACTGAAGAAAATCAAAGGCAAGCCAAGCAAAAAGAGGGGGAAAAAAAATAAAAATCCCCCAATAAATGGATGTAGCACGAGTAATGGCTGGAATGGTGTTTGAGAAGAAGCAAAGGGAAGTTCTGTGCTGGAGCACTCAGTTACCTTCTTGAAGAGGCGTCCTGAGTCCTCGCTGACCTGGACAAAGCGTGGGATGATGTTGTTGAGATAAATGTCACTGAGGGTGGTGTGGTCCCTGCTCTCCCTCTTCACCTGGTTGAGCAGCAGGTTCCAGCAGTTCACTGGTGACAGCACGTTCTGATCCTTCCTGCAGGGACACAAAACAGGAACAACTGGACAGGATTCCACCACCATTCTGGAGCTGTAAATGCAGCTGTGGGGTGGGTGGGATGCTGAGGAGAAGACAGAAAATACACCCTCAGCTCCCTTTCCCTACATTCCCATGAGCTTTTGTCGTGCAACAAACGGATCCTGCAAACGCAAGCTGCACTGTGCCAAGCGCAGCCTTTAATTTTTCCCTTTGAATCCAGGATTTTGTGCATAAATCAGAGCCTGAGGGAGGGAGGGCGATGGCTCCAGTGTCTGACAGAAGGTTTCACAGTCCTGTCTCGAGAATTTGGGTCTTAACCACAATAAAAAAAAGATTTCAAGCACCCAGTGAACCAAACAGCATCTGCATAGGAAACAAAACGCTGTCTCCTGTGCAAAGCTCATTATGGGAAGGCTTCTCTATCTGTCCCCAGCCACAGACAGCAGCACTCCTAAAAGCAGCTTGATTTTCTCATCTTTGAACTTTCCCCACCTTCCTTCAGATCCAGGTGGAGCCGTAATGACAGCATTTACTTCTCTGCAGCTCTGTTTACCATTCATTCACAGCACAATAATATTTATCTAGAAAAGAGTAAAACCTGTGGTGCAAAGCCCCTGGAGTACAAGACTCTATCAGATATCTTTCCTTCTAAAAGAAATGCAGTTTAATTTCCACTGGAAAGGGAATATTTTGCACTTGAAAGGACAACAATCTCTGCTGCAAAGCAACATTGGGAAAATGGGAAAACTGAGCCAGGGCAGAGTTTCATTAGCCTTGTCATGACACCAGCAGCTGGATTTGTGCTGCAATAGGGATAATTTTAGATAAAGAGTTTCAGAACAGCTGATCTTGATGATTTTTTTTTTTTTAATATTTTTTTTTCCCTTTAACAAAAAATAAATTGGAAAGCTCAGGGCTGATCCAGACTGCTTCACCCACTGACTCCATCTCTGCCCTCTGAAGCTGGCAGAGCTACAAATGAAAATTACCCAGCTACAATGACGAGTTTGAGAATGAAACACAGGAACAAAAAACCCTCAGACTCTCCACCAAAACCCTGCCTGAAAACCCCTCAGAGCCCCATTCCTGCTCCATCACCAGCAGGAGCTGTGGCTGCAGGAGCTCATAGGAAGGAGCAGGTATTTTCCATGGAGGAAAGAGGAGCTGCAGGAGTTAAACACACCAACCCCAGCTGTCCCAGCCACAGCAGCCCTGGCTATTCCAAGGCAGCAAATAGCAGGAATACCAGGAAAGGCTGGCCAGGGAAGTGGCTGGTGGCTGCTGGCGCCACACGGGTTGTTGACACACGCGCTGTGGTTCCACATGAAAGGCCATCCTGCAGGAGAAAATCACCCCAAAGCCCACACACTCCCAGGATTGTCACCTTCGGGATGCTCAAGCCACACACAGCCAGGTTCTCTTTTGAAATTCCTTTAATTTCTTGCTGTCTCTTGGTTTCAGTAACCCCTTCAGTGCCTTGCTGGAACAGGCCCTTGCTTTTGAACAGATGTAGTGGCAGGGAAGGGAGGCAAAACATCTCCTTAATTATTTGCTAGTGACGATTTTCCCAGCAAAAAGCAGATTTTCAAGGCAGAAATTGAACAGAAAAGGAAAGAGTTGCTTCAAACCTCACGGGCATCCTTTAAAACTCCACACACATTAACTTTTAAAGCACCTCTGGAACTGCAGCTCCTCCGTGGGCGCAGTTTTCCCAACAGGGAGCAGGAGTTGTACGACTGCTCACAATAAAACCTCTTCAATCCTCAGCACAGCAGATGGCAGGGAGCAAACTGTGATTGCCATTAACCATTTCAACCATTTCAACCCTTGGAGGAGCTGCCAAAGGCACTCTGCTCCCGTGTCACCACAGAGGAAGATGGAAAAGGGAAATGTCAACAGGGCCTGGTGGGTAGAACCATCCCAAACTCCATCCCCACACATTCTGCAGGGTGACAGAGCCCCTGTTCACCCTGGAGAGCTAAAACTGATGAAATCAACCCAAAAACTTGAGGATGTGAATATAAACTTTCCCAAAGTGCTGGTGCCTTCACGCTGACAACAACTTTTTGACTCAAACTTCCCCTCAGAGCAGGGGGAGGAGGAAGAAGATGCCAAGATGCAGATTTACTCCAAGCACTGTTTCTCCTGGTGTAAAGATGGTGTGGTGATAGTGAGTGTGGAGAGTTTATTTAGGTTAGCCTAAATTACAGCAGATCACAGCACTGGGGGCTGGCTGGCAGCAGGAAGAGGAAGGTTTTTAGGGAACCACAAATGATGAAGCCCTGTGGTTTCATCTTGGGTCTCATCTTGATCAGGTCCTGTGCAACTTCCACTTCAAAGGTTTCAGCTGGGTCTCCAAAAGATCATAAGGGAAGATTGAGTCTTGAGTATCTTAATTAAATTACTCATTCATACAAGGGACTGGCAGACAATCCAAGATTGATCTGCTTCAAGGCGAGCAGGGGAGAGCGACGGAAGCCAGCAACACTGAGTTGGGATTGCAAGGAAATAGGAGAAAAGTCATCTTACAAAACACATTCAAATAAAAATATAATCACTAACAAAATAAATATTTTTTTAAAATAAATCTAAAACCACACCCACAAACCAGGAACAGGAACCCTGCGTTTCCATAAGGAGCACAAGACGAGGGAATGAATCAGATGAGAATGAAAATATTCATTCAAATGGAGAGAAAGGCCTTGTTCAATCTGGCATTGGACACTTCCAGGCATGGGGCAGCCTCAGTTTCTCTGGGCAGCCTGTTCCAGGCCTTCCCCTCCCTCCCAGGGAGGAATTCCTCCCCAATATCTCACCTGAGCCCATCACTCCTTGTCCTGTCCTGATGAAGGCTCCAAGGGACATCCCACTGTTCACAGCAACAGAAAACTTCCCCGACCACCCTTGCTGTGAGTGAGGTCTTTAAACAACACCTGAAGTCTCCTGTTCCACCTCCTCATCTCCCCAGAATATCCACGTTTTCCCAAGATGTGTCCAGCAGGCTTTTCCAAAGCTGCTGCATTCCAGGACAGTCAACTCTGCAAACCCTCAGAGCTGGAGCCAGGCCAGAAGTGAGAGCAGAGATTTAATTGTTCCTCTGAATAGTTCAGCCCTGTCTGAATTTTGTCCTCTGGCCACGATCACAGCAACGTGGTGTGAGACCAGCACCACTGAGATGATGAAAAACAGCACAAAAATCCTCCCTGAGGTTTCCCATCCGTTTTTGCCGGTCATGTATCTCCAGCTCTCTGCATTCATTGGAGGTCACTGAATCAATGAATGTTTAATGCTTACAAAAACCTTCCAAATGGGGAATTTTATTCTGACAGGCTCAGAATAAAATGTGCAGGACTCAGTTTCAGCAAAGAGAACCACAAAAATAGCTTATGATAATGTTTATTAGTATTAATAATAATAACAATAATGTAAGTGGAGCCCATGTGACCCAAATGCTTTTATCAATTCCCCCCTCACAATCTGTATCATCCCTGCTTTACAGAAATCATTTTACTTTTAGGAAGATTAAAGCTGAACTTCTCTGCAAGCTGCTCATCCACATTTGATTTTCCCTGACACAGCTCGGTGTGAACTGTAAATTTTGAGAATTACAAGCATGGACATCCATGCTGCTCCCTGCCCTTCTCTTCCAAAAGATTCCAGTTATGAACATCTGTTGTTTACAAGTGCTCAGCCTGAAGGTTGCCAGACTTATTCTGCATCTTCTACTTCGAGGCAAAGGCTGCCAGAAAGCCATCTGAATTTCATGCTGGGATATCCTGGACATTCAGCTCTCCAGCTGACAATTGCTACTCAGGATCCTGCTTCCAAAGATTATCTTGATTTAAAATATGGCCTTAAAAATAGCATTGTCTTTTCTCTTTTGTTTTTATTTTTTTTTCCTTTTTTTCTTTTTCCATTTTCTGCCTCAAAAACAATCACTCAAGATTTGCCATGGTTTTCATATCGTTAAATGATTATTTGAATAGGCAAATGCCTCCAGGACAAAAATCACATGAAACAGGAGAACTGAAGGCTGGGGTTGGAGGTCCCAGGCTCTGAGTGCAGTGGGACAGAGCCTTTTTTGGGGGGCTGGAATTCACACCCAGCCCTGCAGGGAGCCCGAGACCCAAGAGCCAGCTGTGAGATGGCTGATTTACACCTGATTTACACTTGATTTACACCTCAGGCACCACAGCTGGGACAAACAGGCTCCTGGAGCAACCACAGTTATAAGGCCTGAGCTTTGAAAGGGTATCAGGAATATATATAATATATACACCAAATATTGTGTATGGCTATTCCCTTTAATAACCTCATTGAAAAAAAAAAAACCACTTTTTGAAAGAGGCACAGTGAGGTCTAACAGCCATGGCAGAGAAGTTAAAATCAAGTAAAACCTGGGCTGTATCCAACTGCCATCAACTCCTGTGTCACCCTGGCTCAATCAATCTGTTCCCCTTCTTCAGAGATGTCAGATGAGGATAACACACACCTACCCCTGTAAATCATTTTAAGATGCTCCAGTGAAGCTTCAATCTGAGCACCCTTTCAGCTCAGGCCCAGCCATCTCCAGCTCAAAACCCACCTGGAAAATTCTCCTGCAAGGAAGGGCTGAGAGCTGGGTTTGTGGAGGCTGAGGAAATTTGGCCTGCTGAGCCTGGAGAAAAGGAGCTTTGGGGTGACCCAGCTGTGCCCTCCCCGTGCCTGAAGGAGCTGATGGAGAGAGATGATTTACAAAGGGCTGGAAGGACAAGAGGGATGGCTTCAAACTGACAGAGAGCAGCTTTAGAAGGGATATCAGCAAGAAATTCTTTCCTGTGAGAAACTGGTACAGGTTTCCCAGAGAAGCTGTGGCTGCCTCATCCCTGGAAGTGTCCAAGGCTGGTTTTGGAGCAACCTGGGATAGTGGAAGGTGTCCAGGGACTGGATGAGCTTTAGGGTCCCTTCCAACTCAAACCATTCCTGTGATTCAATGCAAACGTGGCCACTTCCCTTGGACAAACCCAAATTCCATAATAGCTGCAGAGCAGGAAAGCCATGCAAATGACAGGGTGGCTGCCTGACAGATTTCCTCCCAGCCCGTGTGTCAGGAGATCTAAAAACGGGATGTGCCACAGGGAGCAGGCAGGGAATGATACGCTACCTTGGACATAATTAGCAGTTGTGGGGAGAGCAGGCTATTATGGGGTATTTATAGGGTCAGAGGCAGGCAATTACAGAGCAGGCTCCTCTGGCAGACGTGTAATCCCGAGGAGCAGGGAGCTGATGGCTGCCTTTGATCAAATGGGGGCTCCCAATGGGATTCCAGCATCTCCATGATACTCGCTGTGATTCAGAGCAGCACTGGGGACAGGTGGTTACAGTGGGAATCGCTCCCCTATGGATCCCTGTGACAATCTGGAACTCTTCTGACTGGCACAGCCGGCACAAAAATGAGCACACAAATGCTGCACGGCCAGCCTGAGCTGTGCCACTGCTGACCACACACCCAGCAGCCTCAGACTTTGTGTTCTTTTTCTCTTATTCCAGCTCTTGACCAAATTTATGTGTGTGTTTAGGACTCAGACCTCGCAGGGATGCCGTATTCCAAGAGTAAGGTGTTTTTCTGGCAGGAGCAAGCTGCTGCTAAAGTGGAATCAGCAGCCCTCTCCCTGCAATTCCTGCGGAATTCTGTTCAACTCTGGGCAAAAATTCCACATTATAAATTCATTCTAAATCCCCAAACAGAAGTTCTACACAACTTTGTCAAGCCAAATACAAAAGTGTTTCTGATGGGATGTTTCATATCACGTAATATAAAGCAAATCACCTCAATTTTCACCAGAAATAACAACAAAATCAACCGAAACCACTGATCATACTGCAAATGAAAACTGTAATTCTAGACACCATCTCTTTAGTGCCATCTTAAAGGCACGTGCAGGATGTGCACAGTTTACAGCTGTAAAAACACTTTCACTCCAAAGGAAAAGAAAAAAACCCTTCAGATTCTGAGATGGATATGCAGAACAACCCTTCCCCAGGCTGTCAAACAGCTCTGCTCTGGAGCCAGCCTTTCCTGAGGAGGCAGCACAACGTGTGCTCTAAATGAGAACCCGAGTGAATGACATCAAAGCTGTGCAGACAGGAAACTAAAAATGGTGCCTCCTTAATGGCTTCCACAAAGAGAGCTGCTGCTGGAAAGGGGAAGCTGCTGTGTCCCCACATCCCCCCGAACACAGCAACGACACAAACACAGGGAGAACGTCCCGAGCCGAACAATGCGAAAAGTGACGCCGTGCTCTGGGCGGGGGCAGCCCCAGATGGATCCTCTCAGCCCGAAATGTCCAAAGCAGAAATGATTCAGATCCCAAGGCTCCTGCTGCTCTGTGTTTTTCCCCAGCTGCTGCCCTGACAACACAACCCAACAAGGCTGAGCAGTGCCTGGATGGGAACCACGGGATGGGAGCCCCCTCCTCACCCACACACCCCCTGCTCCTGGGAAAAGGGCCTCAGAAGAAGCAGGAGGATGTAAACCCATGAAACCAAATTCCATCTGCATCAGTGTCCTGGTTTAGGGTAAATTTGGGAGAGAATTGACACTCCAGGACAATCAGTCACCCCAAGGCAGAGAAGAAGGGGAAGAACATCCAGGAACGAGCCCAGCAGCATGGCCAGACCCACCTGTAAATGATGTTTCAGGCAGGAGAGTCCAGAGATTGTCAGCAAGGACATATTTAGATTTTAACTGAGTCCCAGCAGCTCGGTGTCCAGGGATTCCCCACCCACAGTGGCACAGCTCTCTTTGGAAGCGCTACTGGCCTTATTTCCCTGCTGTTTGAAGTGATAGTAGCAGAGCTGCAACACAGCTCCCACACAGAGCGTGTGTGGGATCCCAAAAACGGAGAGCTGACAGCAGGGAACAGATTGGGAACAGCTTCCCTCCAGAAAACCAAAGCCATCGGCACTGAAGGAAATCCTGGCTTTGTCCATCAAATCTGGCACACAGCTTTGCCCACATTTCCCAAGAAAATGACTCCTTTTGCACATTCTTACATCCCAATCCCTATTAACAGCACACAACCTGCCAGAGTTATTAACATGAATGAGCACCCAGAAACAGGGAATGGCTTCTGTGTCCAACACAAACTTGGGGAACGTTTGGCTCTGGAATTCTGAGCAGTGCTGGTGCCTGCATTCACTCTAACAACTCTCACTTCCATTCCTGTCCTTGCAATCAAATCTACAGTGGGGGGAAAAAGGGGCAGAAACAAAAGGCAAATACTCTACTTGAATTGCTGGTCTTTGGTGCTCCTAGTTTTAGCCAGGAATCTTTCAGCCAACTTCTCCAAATTCCTGGAGTAATCCATCTCAATCTCTGCCTTCTTGCGGAAGAAATCCTGCAAGTCCTGCAGTAACTGGACCCGAAGCTCACACTGCTGGTCAAGGCATTTCAGCTGCTCTACCAATTGGGCACGGATCTCTGCAACAAATAAAAGCACTGCAGATTAAACACAATCCCATCACAGAAAACACCATCAAAAAACACCACAGTTCTCCAGCAAATCATCGTTAAAAAATATGTTTCCTCGTTAGTGTGTCAGCCAGGCTCCCTCGTGGTGATTATCTGCAGGAAGAAAATGACTGGGGTTGCATCTTGGACACAGCAATCCCAGGAAATCCATCCCAAACCCCCCAGTCTGGTGCACAGCAAAGCTCTGCTGCTGAAAAGTGCATCAGTTACAAGTGTCAAGTGCATTTTTTGGCATGGGGAACGAGTGGTCACTGCCTAAAAATGTACTGAATCTCAGTCTGGAAAAAGGACTGAATGCTACAATCAGCGTCAGCTCAGCAGATCACTTCAGGGAATTTCTATCAAATTCCTCTGCAAACTACTCCTGATGCAGAAACAAGGCATTGCACATTCTGGGGCACTCCCTGAAGGCACCAAATTCAGATTATTCAGTTTGTTCCTGAGTCTCCAGCTGGGCAGCTCATTATAAACCCAGCCATGAAAGAGAGGAAGAAACCCCCCTGGAGAGCCAACACCAGAGCACTTCCCAAAAGGGAATCATCTCCAGGAAAGCTCCTTTTCCTTTTAAAATATCTGCAAGCAACATATCTCCATCTAAGGACCCCATAAAGCACAGAGATATAGGTGTTAATACTATAATTAATTATTAATATATATTCATAATAATCACAGCATGATTACTATGAATGTCTCTACGTTAACACAGCGTTTTACAAACGGTTTTCAAACATTTTACAAACGTAAAAGCTTTTCCCATTAGCCATGTGCTCTCCTTATCCCACTGATCCTGAATTTCAGGGACAGAATAGTAAAATGACTCACTCACGGTCAAACAGGGCAAGAAAACACAGCAGAAGTGTGTCAGTCCCAGCCTAAAAATGCAGAAATATTCAGTGATGCCGCCAGCAAAGGCTATTTGGCTTTTACACAGGCAATAAACTCAACATGAAATCAATAAAATATGCCCTTTCATCTAAAGGTCTTTGAGCAGTCAAACTGCAGAGATTTGCCACGGCCTGACTGCGAGTGCTGCTCCCTCCAAAGCTTTCCTGACGTGTTGTTCCAGGCTGAACCCAGAACCAGCAATAAAATTTCAGGTTTTACAGCTTTCCTCACACCTCCACGCTGTGACTGCAGGCGCCCACGACTCCATCACCACAAGGGAAGGAGAGGAGGGAGCATTCCCCAAATCCAATTTTTTTAGGAATCGGCGACTTCACCGCTGATTCCTGAAACACAGAAAATCACAGAGAGCAGCTTGGCTCCTCTGGGAGTTTGTCCCTTTGCCCAGGAAAAAAAAAAGCAACAAACAAACATCTGGACCTCCATGGTTTAATTCCTGCCATGCAGTCCCAGTATCAGTTTGCTTGGATCAGTGAAATTAATAAATTAAATCGAAATATTTAATTATTAAATAAATTATTTATATTTAATTATATAATACAATAATTATAATTAATACTATAATATAATAATATAATTAATATTATCATCATTAATATAGTATTATTAATTAATAAATTATTATATATTATATATTATATATTATATATTATATATTAATACTATAATATAATAATATAATTAATATTATCATCATTAATATAGTATTATTAATTAATAAATTATTATAGATTATATATTGTATGTTATATATTATATATTATATATTATATATTATATATTATATATTATATATTATATATTATATATTATATATTATATATTATATACTATATATTATATGTTATATATTATTATTATAATCCTGCTCACGTCTGCAGGAATGGATTTAGGGAATCCGGGATTCGCCGTCAACAAAACCCCGCATCTTTATTTTAAGGACTCCAAAACCCAAACCACATGTATGAAAACACGGCTCCCAGTCAGGCTTGCCAAAAAGAGGGGGAAAAAAAATAAAAAATCTGCACAAATGTGGGGTTTTCAAGCTTGAAGATGACCTTGATTAGCACCGAATTTGGTTGTTCCAAACTTCTCAGCCTGTGGTACCCAGGGGTTTTTGCTGCAAGGAGGAAATTCTTGCTGAAAAGGAGGAGTCATCACTAATGTGGGGGCAAAGCTGGTCAGATCTCTTTTTTTTCCCCAGGAGAGAATCTTAAAAAACCACAAGACCTGTGTTTCTTCACCAGGAAACACAGCTACAGGCAAATGCATCCACCTGAGCTGGCTGTGCACCTCTGTAACCAAAAGCACTCCAGCTCCATCGCTTTCCCAGGGATGCCCCAGCTCAGGTGGGAAGAGTGTGGGGTCACCCCAGGGAGGTCTCTGCACCCCTTAAGGGTGCTGAGGAGAGAAATCCATGGGGAACCTGACCCTGGCTGTGCAGGGAAGCACAATCCACACCAGGTGAAACCTGCATGCTGCATTTACCACAGCCCTGGAGATCCCTCAGCTTCTGAGCTGCCTTTGTTGTTTGCTCCATCCCAGCTGGTGTTTCAGGACTGGCAGGGCCACGGGGATGCTCACACACATCAGACCTGCCAGCATTCATGGAAAACTTTGCTCAACGTGTGCTGCACACCCTCAGCTCGTGGGGCCACAAACCCACTCCAGGATTTGCAAGGCTCTGCACCAGTGACAGGTTTAACCAGGGAAATGCAAACCAGACACCCCCATCCCACCGGAGGCTTTGCCATTAAGACTTTTTAAAGCAAAGGAGGTGATAACAGCACCAAAATTGCCAGGAAGGTGGCGTTTCCTTGCTGCCATCACTCAGTTTTCCTGATCCTTAACCTGATACTCACCTGCAGGTCTAGCATCCAAAAAGGAACATTCTTCAACACAAGAAGCATTAGAAAGCTCTTCCTCCCTTTGTGTTTTCTCCTCCACCCTTTCCTCACCAAAAGGGATGTTCCCAACACTGAAACATCTCTGTGACCTTTTCAGAAGCTACTGGACAAAAGACACTAATTTTAGGAAGTTGAGGACTCACTGAAAGGGATCCCACCTGAGCAGATCTGGTGTTTTCTGCTAAGTACATTAAGAGAGTCAGGATTCAAACACAGCAAATTCTGCCTGTGACGTTTCTATTTGTGCATTTAGGGACTGTTCATCTGCAATTTTTTGGAAGTCAGCAACCCTTTTAGCACGGATGAACAGCAGACACCTTGTTAGAGAGGAGTGGAGCAGGGATGGAAATAGCAGATTGAGGCAGACCGTGACCACCCACCCTCCTTGGTGCCTCAACTGATGGATTTGTTATGAGGGCAACAACCCAGCAAAACTGGACGTTCTCCATGACATTCTCAATTGGAAAACCACCTCCTGGAGCAAAAGGAGAACTACAAAGGAGCTCTTCCAAAAAAACCAGCAGCTCTCAAAAACAAGATCAGCAGAGCACGAGTGTTTTAATTAGAAAATCACAACACAGCTCTTGGCTCTGGAGGTGGGACACTTCACACACAGCCCTCACTGAACAGCACCGAGAACCAGCAACTTCTCCTTCAGCATGAAATGCGATATCAGCACTTTTCTGTATAAATAAAGGCAGTGTTTTGGAGGGGAGCAGTGACAGCTGATCGGGCTCCCGCAGGGAACAATGAGCCATTCAGGCCTGGCTTATCGAGGCCGTGGCGCTAGGCCGGAGCGAGGCAACCTTGCTCATCTTTCAAACACACACCCCGCAGTCCTCCGCCACAAAATAAAATCAAGAATGCAGGAATTTCCTGAGGCTTACTGGGCTTTCCAGAGTATAAAGTGTCTGCTTGTTTTCCCACTGCTTACACAAGCAGAAGGTATTTTTTTCGGCCCTACTCTGAGCACATCCCCCGGCGGAGTCGGGGCCGTGCGTGCTCTAACCCGGGGGTCACCGAATTACACGGGACCTTTTCATGTCTCCAGTCACAACAACCACTCCAGTCTTGAATCCACTGCTTCTGCATCTTTTAATTTGCACAGGTTATTAGGTTAACAGCCACTTTAAACACCAAAAAAAGCCTTTCCCCCTGCTTTCCTTTAGAGCTTGGCAATCCCACCCACGGCGGTCGATGAAGACAAGGAACAACCTCCTGAAGATTCTGCTCCAAGGGTGAATAAACACACGTTGAATTCAAGGTCAAGATGCCGGTGGCAAAATTAGGATTAAACACCAGGTATTTTTATTGCAAGCCTTGCCCTGTGTTGCTGAGTTCTGCCTATTGTAGTTCAAGCTCACGTGGTTGACAGCTACATAACACAAACACCCTCAGCGGCCACAGAAAGTTTTCCATCCGCTTCAAACAAACCATTTATTCGTTTCCATCACCAGATCATAAAGTCACCTGGGTCACTGAGGGACAGACCATTGTGTAATTCTGGACAGCTGCATGACCTGACTTTTATCCATTCTGCAGCCACCTTTTCAACATCCCATGGAGCATGCAGGAGACAGGTCCAGCTCACAATGAATTCAGAGGGTAAGGAAGGATCTTCTGCCTTCCAGATTTTAGTCCCATTTGCCATTCCCCACCTAGAGCAGCTGTGGCTGCCCCATCCCTGGAAGTGTTCAAGGCTAGGATGGATGGAGCTTGAAGCAAGCTGGAAGGGGCAGGGGCTGGAATGAGATGAGCTTTAAGGTCCCTTCCACCCCACAGCATTCCATGATCTTCAGCATCCTCAAACTGCACCAAACACAACAGATTTCTGCAGAGCTCCTGGCAAGAATTTGTGTTTTCATCAAACAATTCCACCCGGAGCAGGGGGATATCCACAGCAACTGGGGCTCTGGTACAGCACCCAACATCCACCCTCTGAAAAAGAATTTCCCAAACTCAACTTTTTAAGGCTTAAGCATCCTATGAAGTTGGAACACGGAACCAAATCTTTTGTACCAACTTGTTCATTCTCCCATAGGTCACACAGTGACCTCAGAGCCCAGAGCCCTCCTTCAGGGACTCTAAACAACATTCCTGCTCCGAGCAGGATCATGTCCCTCCCTAAGAAGGGTTTCA